AGCCAAGTGCTGCACTGTATTTACCAGCCTTCAGGTACATAAACAGTTGCTCATGGTTTTGGGCCTGGCCCCACCTTTCCATCTCTTTTCCTTCTCAGTGTGCTCTGCACTCATACTGCATTTTCCTTTTGTTGTTAGACACCTTACTTGGAAGAACACAAAGTTTCAGGGAGACCTCAACATGAACTTATTCAGGCATCTCAAATCTCTGTAACTTTGTGTATGTGCAGAAGTGCCTTTATGCTGGGGGAATTTGAAAGTGAGAAAGTGAGACCCTGGAAAAGCTCACATGCGTTTGAAGAAGACAGTTTGGTGACAGGTGGGCAGAGCCTTCTAGAAAAGGGGTTTTGATCTGAGGACAAGCCAAGAAGGATTTTGGAGTAATTTAAAAGTTACTGATTGCTCCAGTGAAAGCAACTGTTTCTCGTTCAGCAGGCAGTAGTCAGCCATTTGTATGCCCCCGTGCCCTTGCAGGGGGTAGATGAGCAGGTGTAACTGTGAGGTGGCAATGTGTACCTGTCGAGATGGCACATCACTCCCTCTGCTTTTGTTTTCTGTCCCTAGGGGCTCTAGTTCCTCAGCAGACAAGTTGTCTGTATCGAGGACCAGTGTTCCCTCCGCATTACTGTCATGAGCTGTACGTTCTGATGGGAATCCATATCTTGTTCTGGGGATCATTAACTCAAAATTGGGAAGAATCTGAATAGCAACCAAGTGCACAAGTGTTTTCAGACCTGCAGTTTCTTGCTCACTTTCTTTTCCTTGTTCTGTCTGATGAACATTTTAGTTGCCACATTAGAAGTGGGGTAGTGTCAGCAAGAGGCTGTGTGGCTTTGGGGAGCTCCCCAGAGGCAAGGCTGTTCAGGGTGCACAGCTGTGAGATTGAGAGCGTAGGAAGAACGTGCCGGCTGCTTTCCAGCAGCTGCAGCCATTGGACAGACTCCCTGGCTTTGGGATGAGGAACTTGATGCTGCAGTTCCATTTGTGTCTCCATCACCATTCTCTCCCTGCACAGCCCCCAAATATAAAGGCATTTCCTAGTTCCATACAGGATCAACAGATGTACCGTGCCTCCCATGTAATATAATCACTGCTGGTGATTGAAATGGAAATATCACTATAATATAGCAAGAAGATGTCAGTGACTTCTCTTCAGCTATTTCCACTTTGTGGGGAGTACCTGTGTAAGTGGAGTTCTGTCTAGTACAGCATGCTGCTAGACAGTGGTGCTTTTCTGCTGCTCTTTACAGTCCAAAATATTGTAAAGATTGAAACTGCTGTGATTTTGGAGGGTCTGTGGCTATAGTTTCAGGAGCTGTGGTTTTTTGTGTTTTTTTTTCTCCCAGTAAACTAATGAGAAATTTGTTGCCTCAGGAGATCAAGTCAAATGAATTTCTGAGATGCTGCGCACTGTCATATAGCAACATTTCAGCCTTATGCTTAGGGGAAATTGACTGCAAGGATGAGGAAGCAGAGCTGTGTCCGCAGTGGTTGTGGCTGGATTTTGCATCCCATTGCTTTCCACTGAAGCGTTAAGTAGTGACTACTGCTGGAGACAGGATATTAAACTTGGTGTGATCGTTTGTTTGCTTCTTAGAGATTTTGATTCTTAAGAGGTGAATGAACTCCATTATTATAAAACTTTTGTTCTAGTCCTTGTAATTAAATAATATAATAAAAATGTTGTATAATGTATATGTAATTTCTAGTTTTGACTTAAAAAGGCAAGTTTAAACCTGCGCATAACTCCCTCCTGCTGTGCTTAAGAGCTGGTAGGCAAGGTAAAATGCTTTGTCGGCAAAGCAAAACAAGTAATTAGAACTAACTTTCTGTTGCAATGGAAAGAAACCACTATGTTCTTACCACCTCAGCCACGGAATTTCCTATAGATAGACTTCAGTGTTTGCTGAATTATGATTTTGAGCTGGTCTTACAGACTGTAACCTGGTGAGTCCTACTTTTTCTTTCCTTTTTTTTTTAATGGTTGTTTTGTTGGTTCGGCATTTTTTGGTTTTTTGTAGTTTTCATCCTCATATACTCACCTTGATCCTGTTCTAGCTTCATACCAGGCCAAAAGTTGGATGCAGATCTCTTCATGCTGTCACTTTGGTTTTTTCCAGGAAAGAAACTGGTGTTGGGAGCTATAGAATGCATAGGAAACTTTGAAACTACTTGGTATGAGACCAAGTGTGAGCCAAGATAGCAGAGAATCTGCTGAAGTTCTGTGCTTACAGGGTCAGAACAGAGCACCTACATGACTGATACTGTGTACTAATTGAAAAGATAAGAAAGATACAGACTAGGGACAGCATTCTCTGTCTTTTGCTGCCAAGTGGCAGGATGCAGCTCTTGTCCACAGTGGCTAAGCTGTCAAGCCTTTGCCAAAACCCAGGTGCCCTCATCCAGCCTGCCTGCTGGGAATGGTTCTGGTGCCTGCTTCATCCTGCGTTATCCAGGAGAGCGTGAGGTGACCAGGGCCAAAACCCTGAAATGTGCTAATTGTTAAGTAATATGGCCAGTACTGGAGTCTCTGCCTTAACCTTGTCTTCTTTACCAGTAGCCACTTAGCCCAGCTTATGATAGCTTCTTAACAGATTTATTGGTTCTTTTAAATGTAGAACCATGGAAATGTTGGTTGGAAGGGAGTTCTGGAGGTTACCTAGTTCCAGCTTTCTGGAAGGAGCAGAATGTGGCTGGCTCAGAGTTAATGAGTCCTAAAGGTAGCTCCAGGGATTTAAAGAAGTTCTATTTCATGAGAAATGTAAATTTCTCCTTTATTTTTCTTGCTTTCAGTGGGATTTGGCAGAGCCCTATGGTAAGTCTGCAGTGCTAGGTGTGTGTCCTCTGCAAGTGTAGTATGTCATTAATCCTAGACAAATTTTTTGCCTGGATAAGTGTCAGCAGTGCTTATCTTTGCAGTGCTGCAGGCAGCATGGTGGCAGCTGTGTGTCCTCTGGGCAGACTCCAGCTGTTCTTGATTTCTCCTCAGTTACTTAAGAGCACGCTTGCTCTGTAATCATGTGCAATATTTCTACCTCTGCTGCTAAATTTCTGCTTGAATACTTTGCTTTATGATCTTCTACTCAACCTCAGGAATATATTAGGCATCTTACTTCTTAATATGGGTATCACAGAATAATTTAAGTTGGAAAAGACCTCAAAGATCATCGAATCCAACCATTTACCTAACACTGACAAGTGTACCACTAAAACATGTCCCCAAGTGCCACATCTGGGTGTCTTAATACCTCTAGGAATGGTGACTCAACCACTTTGCTGGCCAGCCCATTTTAATGCATGACGACCCTTTCAGTGAAGAAATCTTTCCCAATATCCAATCTAAACATCCCCTGGCACAGCTTGAGGCCGTTTCCTCTTGTCTTGTCACTTGTTACTTGGGAGAAGAGGCTGCCCCCCACCTGACTACAACCTCCTTTCAGGTAATTGTAGAGAGCGGTAAGACCCTCTCTGAGCCTCTTCTTCTCCAGGCTAAGTAACCCCAGCTTCCTCAGCTGATCCTCATAGGTCTTTAAACCCTTCACCAGCTTCATTGCCCTTCTCTGGACTCACTCCAGCACCTCAGTGTCTTTTTTTGTACTGAGAGGCCCAGAACTGAACACAGGACTTGAGGTGCAGCCTCACCAGTGCCAAATTCAGGGCAACAATCACTACCCTGGTCCTGCTGGCCACACTATTTTTGATACAGGCCAAGATGCCATTCTTGGCCACCTGGGCACAGGCTGGCTCATGTTCAGCTGCTGTTGACCAGCACCCCTAGGGCCTTTTCTGCTTGGCCACTTTCCAGCCACTGCCCCCAGCCCGTAGCACTGCTTGGTGTTGCTGTGATCCCAAGTGTGGGACCCAGCGCTTCGCCTTGCTGAACCTTAGACAAATTGGTCTCGGCCCATCGATCCAACCTCTCCCAGGACCCTCTGCAGAGCCCTCCTGCTCTCCAGCAGATCAGCATTCCTGCCCAGCTTGGTGTCAATCATCTGCAAACGGACTGAGGGAGCGCTCAGTCCCCTTGTCCAGATTACTGATAAAGGTATTAAACAGGACTGGCCCCAGCATTGAGCCCTGAGGAACACCACTGGTGACGAGCCACCAGCTGGATTCCTCCGCATTCTCTGGGCCTGGCCATCCATCCAGTTTTTAACCTGGTGAAGAGTACAAGATGTGCGCAGCCAGTTTCTCCATAAGAATGTGGTGTCAAAGGCTTTAGTAAAGTCCAGGTAGACAACATCCACAGCTTTTGCTTCAAACACTAGGCAGGTCACTTTGTCATAGAAGGGCTTCAGATCAGTCAAGCTGAACCTGCCTTTCATAAACCCATGCTGGTGGGAGAAGAGAGAAAATTTGGGAGGCAATTGGTGCCTCTGACTGGGGTGAGGAATTTCTGAATTCCAGGTATTTTTGGAGCACTAAATTGGTATATGGTCTTTGTGACTTCACTGTCTTTTCTCTGTCTGTAATATTGGAACTATGAGATGGATTTCTTATAGAGTGATATGAACACTGGTTAGATCACATATATTTGGTAATGGGAACTGTAGTGTTCAGGATGATTTCTTCTTACTTAATTTCATCCCTGATTGTGAACATTCCTTTGTCCTGTGGCAACCAAGGGAGGGACCAAGTCAGGCTCTTTGAAGAGAAACTGCAAGTTGTTTCTTTGTTTGAAATTTCACAATATAACCCAGAAACCAGGGATGCTATTGACATCAAAATGGGAAAAATACTCCCTGAAAGCAAGCTGTTACATGTTATCCTAGTGAAATAACCATCTCTGTACATGTCAAGTTAAAGTATGACTTAAGATTTTTTTTTTCTTATAGCTTCACTGTCTCCTAATTAATTGTATGTAATTTCATACTAAATGGTTATTCAACACTAAAGTGGCAACTTATTGGTACTTCTAAGTAAAAATTACTTTGGAGGCTATGACTGCATATTTTGCAGCTAGATGTTTCAGTGTCTCATTGCTTCTGTTCCTGTTACAGGTGCGTGTGACAGCATCGCAGCGATGAGTGGAATTTTAAAGAGGAAGTTTGAAGAAGTTGACGGCTCCTCACCTTGTTCCTCTGTGCGGGAATCAGATGATGACATTTCTAGCAGTGAAAGTGCTGACAGTGGTGATAGTGTCAATCCATCCACTTCTAATCATTTTACCCGTAAGTACTAAATCTGTGTGTCTAAAGAATGATTCCTGTTTCTCAAAATAAAGTAAATTTTATGGTTAGATAAGCATGATGATTTTTAATTGAACAGATGATAAAATGGACTCCCTGTGGTGTTTAGTTTATGACTTGCTCAAAATGACTTAGTGAACTTGCATCCTTTTGACTTCTTGTTAATTATATAAAACTATTTGTCGTTGCGAAAGTTGGAAGTCACTTGGAAGCTCCTACCTATTTGCTGTTTGAATTATGTAGCTGTTTGTAGTTAACATTGGGAGTTGTGCTTAGAGTATTTCAGACAGGCACTGTACGGAAAGTGCTTTATATAAGTTTGTTTATTTTCCTTAGGTAAATGTAGTGCAGCTGTCAGCTGTCTGCAATACTGCATTGGTGAGAGTTCTTCTCCGAAGGAAATATAAGCTTTCTTTTATTTGGAATTGAGGAATGTTGTGTATGGGACACATTATTTCAATAGTTTCTGTTCTTCATGTAGCACAGGGTATCTCTGTACTTAGGCAATGGGTTTGTGTATGGATATACATTTGGTCTCAAGTTAGCAAAGCTACGTGTGCAGCATATGTTTCTGGGAAAAATTAGTTTACAGTTTATGTTTGCAGTTTATGATATTAGTTTTATGTGCACATTTTAAAAAGCAGAGGTTTGCCTCCAACCCTGTTGCATATAGATCTCCCTACTGGAGTTAATTTGTGAAGACTGTGAGCTGAGGAGTAGGTGAGATTCCTCATCACTGCCTGTACACAATGTGGTCCTTGTCACTCTCTGGTTTGGATTGTGCCTGGAAATCATGTTTGTATATGGGATATGAATGTTCTGATAACTGATTCGTCTACCAAATGCTGCTGTGCAATTTGAGCTGGGGTTTGGACATGAGGGTCCAAATCCTCTTTGCTCTAGTGTGGAGTGCTCCTGTGCAAGGAGGGCACAGGCACAACTTTTCAAGTGGGTTTACATGGAACACTCACGATGTGCTATATTTAAGATGCAGTACTAGTAGGGGACCTATTTTATTGAAATGCCACAGAGGGGTAAGCAACCCAGTAAACCTCTTTGGTAGTATCAAGAAATATCTTGGTAACAATATTGTCTGCATGCTGATATTCTAACTTTTGTTGAAGGAATTAGTTGATGATTCATCATGGACTGAAAACAGTCTTTTTACATCAAACAGTCATTCCCACCCACATAGAAGACAACAATTTTTTTGTGAATACACAGATAATACAAAGAAAGCAAATAATTCGGGGGAGAAACTTGGAAGTTGTAATACATGCATGTAACAAAAAGCTTTAATTGTAGTTGACACAATAAATAATTTATTTTTTGAATAAAATCTGCAAGGCAAACTATAGCATTTCAGTGTTATGACTAATGATCTATCCAACTGACATATTTGTGGCCAGAGTAATAAGTGTTTATCTGTGTGTGCACTCACACACACACACTTATAGAAATTGTACAGATTACATTTTTTTAAATACATATATATATATCTAAATCAGTTGGCAATATGGAAATAGAAAGAGTAAATTATTTGCATGTGCATTGATACTACTTTTTAAAAAGTATTGTCTTTAATATAGGTGCACCAACCTAAATTCCAAGAAATCAATTACAGAATCCCAGTATTATATAAGGTTGGTCTGGGAAGAAAAGACTTGAACTGATGGCCTTGGCACTATATTTGAATAGGCAAACCTCAAGGTCCTCAAGGAAAAGGCTTTTGGAGACTTCTTTCAGTGTCTGACATTGTGCTTTGCTCTTACTGTAATGCAGCATGCTTGCAGGGCTTTATAAAGGTGATCATTTTTTATTGGTAACAAATAGAGGATATTGATGGTCAGATGAAGTGTAGAATGAAAAGATGGTTTAATGCCTACTTAATTGCACGCATCTTGCATCCAGACTCTCTTCATTGTTTTGTAACTTTACCAAGGACACTCCATGTTGCACATGATAGGGAAGTCAGATTTTGTTAATTCATTATTAAAATGCTGCAAGTGAGATTTTGCACCTTCTTCTTCTCTCTTAAGCATATCTGTTACTTACATGTTTACACAATCAATATCTACCAATTGAGTGGTGTTAGAAAAATCACTTCTGATGCCTTAGGCACATCTGCTTTTTTACATAGGAGCAACTCTGCACTAAAAAGATGAGTCTTAGTGATGATGTATTATACTAAAAGTTAGTATGTGTTTGCAATACAAATTAATCATGTTTATATTTAACGTAAAAATGCTGAAAGATATTTTCAACTTGATAACTAACTATCTCTAGTGAAAAACAGCTTTTGTTGAGATTGGATTTTTATTTTGTTTTATTCTTCTCGCATTTTCTTGAGGCTGTGTGCTTTGATTCTGCAAAGAATGTTTTAACTGGACGTTTGTTGAAATTTTTATATGCACAGAATTTTTTTCATTTGGTTTGTATCAGTTGGTTAACATCAGTGATGTGTCACATCATGTATGATATTGGATGCTCTTCAGGGCAGGAGCACTTTCCTTTGCGTGTACTTAGATTTTTTTTTTTTACCTTCTAGATTTTTTTAAACAGTTTTATTTGAAAAAGCATATTTTGAGTTCTGGGAAGTAATAAAAATCTGATCATACTGAAATAAATGCTCAGTCCTGTCTTGTCAAAGCTGAATATGTAGAAATTGTCAATGTTATGTCTCATAAAGACAGGTGTCTCACAGAGCTACTAAAAACTACATGCAGATGTGTTGTACAGTAACAAAACTCTTAACAGTGTACATTGGAAGGTGTTTTGTTCATGCTCTAAACACATTCATCTCCCAAAATAAAAGATAAGACCTTTTCCATGTCGAATATTTGAATCTGTACTGTTAAGGATGAGGTCTGTGAGACTTTTCCAGTAATCAGACAGAAAAGAGCCAGTGCAGAAAAAAGACTGGCCAGATTCCTTGCCTCTGTTACATGCCTGAGTACCTCCTTGATGGTGGTTATCTTTCTAAGCCTTTTCCTGACATGTTATACCATTTGTCTTTGGTGAGACAGTGTCAGATTCTGTGTACTGTCTTCCTTCTGGTCTGTTTTCATATAGGTAAATATGAAATTCAGTATAAACCCTCTTTTACTGACTGGAAATGAGGGGGTTGTAGGTGACCTGTAGAGTCAACAAGAGCTATACGTTGATTCTGAAACTGAGAATTTAAAAAAATCCTAACATGGTCCTCTAAGTCTTATTTTTCCTTTCTAATTGACCTGACAAAGAGATAATTTTAAATCACTTGTAACTCCAGCCCTTTCAGCGCTTCAGCAAGCAGGCAGTTGGTGTACAAATCTATCTAGAATAGCTGATGCATCTCAATATTTACACAACCCTTGAAACAGTATGTGTTGGGTCAGATAAACAAGAGCCTTTCAGCTATCCTGCTCCATTAGCCTTAAGGTCAGTTTAACCTGCCAGCTAAATGTGACACACAGCTGCTGTGGATCACTCAGGTGGGGCAGAACTACCAGAAGATAGCTTTGTTCTCAGCAGTTAACCCTGCAGTGTGATGGCAGGAAATACATGACTGACTACTACACAGGGGTAAGTACAGGGTTTCTTTAACAATATATCCATTTAAACAAATAGAGACACAAGTGATGACACAAAAAATGAGTAAAACCCTAGCCTAAGTTACAGGCTTCTGAGTTAGTAAATGAAAAGTACGGTCTATAAAGAACAGACAGCTGTTACCAGGTTTGTAACAGAAAAAAGAATAAAATAGTATTTTCTTGACCAGGAGTGCATTTTTACACATGTGCACATTTTTAAATCTCTTAGCAAATGGTGTTGGAGTGCCTTGATTCCTGCTGGCAGATATAATCCCTACTGCCTTTTTTACTCACCTTTCTCAGTCTATTGAGGTAATTTCAGTTTGATTCAGCAGGTCATTAGTCACACTGCAGATTTACCTTAATGGATGCCAAGGCATATTACTAACTAGTCCCCATACCTGTCCCATTTCACAGCCCCACCTTCATCTCAGAAAGAGGGATGTTCATTTTCAAGTAGCAATCCAAGTTTGCATATACTGTATGAGCAGGAGTAAGAGCACGTGTTCCCTTTTTCCTTAGGGATACATGGAATACAGGGCAGGAGCACTCACAATGCCATTTCAGCACTTTAAATTGCCCTCTTCAGTTAGGGCACTTCACTGCTGTGTTTCCTCAGCTCCGCAGCGAGCTGATGAATCTGGAATTGCTATTCAGGATGTCAGTAAAACACCCTGACCGTTCCTGGGATTGTGTGCACTGAGGGACACGGGATTCCACACTCCTGCTCAGGTGTGGGGGATATGTGCCCTTCCAGAGAAGGGCAGTGAAGCTGGAAAAGGGTCTGGAACATAAGTCCTATGAAGAGCGGCTGAGGGAGCTGGGGCTGTTCAGTCTGGAGAAAAGGAGGCTCAGGGCAGACCGTACTGCTCTCTGCAGCTGCCTGAAAAGTTGTGACAAGGTGTGGGTCAGTCTCTTCTCCCAGGCAAGGGGAAATGGCCTCAGATTGTGTCAGGGGAGGTTCAGGTTGAATATAAGGAAAAACTGCTTCACTGAAAGAATAGTTAAGCATTGAACAGGCTCCCCAGGGAAGTGGTGGAGTCACCATCCCTGGAAGTGTTCAAAAAACAAGTAGACATGGCACTTCACAGTACAGTTTAAAGGGTATGGTGGTATTTGGTCAAAGGTTGGACTTGATCATCTTGAAGGTCTTTTCCAACCTTAATGATCTATGATTCTGTGATTCTTCCTGCCTTGTTGAGATACCTGCCTCTAAATGAGTGAACTTTTTTCTGAAAAGAAAAATACCCAACTTTAAGTTACAGAATTGCATACAACTGAAAGACCTCGGAAGACCTCGTAAAGTCCTGTCTTTTACACTTTGGTACTGGTAAAAATTCCTCATAACATACTAATCACAGATGCATCTCTTAAGAAACGTACTTTGAGGAGCTGCTGCTTTCCTCTGCC